CTCACGTCGAGCTACTGCTCGGAGAAGAAGAACGAGCTGTTCTATTTGTTTGACATTGAAACGTACCTGCTCGAGCACCCGATCGACGTGGCGGCGTCGACGTACTTGCGGGAGCACTTGCCCGATGTTGTCGTGCGCAAGGTGGCCGCGTACCTCGCACCGCCGCTCGCGTCGTTGCTGGACACGATCCGAGCCGACAAGTGCCTTATCCACAACCTTCCGGCTGTCCTGTGGCCAAAAAGAAACTCGCTGTGCCGCGTCCGCCTCGCCACATGCATGAACCTCGCCGTCGAGTATTTGCGCTCGGGCGCCGAGCGTGCTAGCTGCTACAGCGGTCACGTCCTCTATCTGGCGCTGCTGACGGCCGGGACGCCAGCCTTTGCCACAGCCGACGCCGACGTGCAAATGCGGCGACGCTGCTTTGATTTCAAGGGCGAGTGCGCGGCCCTCGACAAGACAACGCTGACGCCGATGCAAGCGCTCGTCTTGGAAGAGTACTTGCGCTATCCCACGTACGGGTGTCAGTAGAAACCGTTGAGTTGACGAATCTCGTGAAACGCGCAAGGAAGCTTGAAAGTGAGGAGTATATTGCATGGTTTTTCATTACTTAGCACGTCGAGTCCCACGCCATTATCCGATGCGTTCCCAAGGTACAGCGACTTTTCAGTTGGGAGCTTGGTCAAAGTGGTGGTCGACGTTGTTTCAAGGTGTCAAGCCAGCACATAGACAAGCAGAGCAATCATTTTACGATGGGACAAAAGAGCCCAAGTTGGTCGACCCAAGTTGAATGTTCTCGCGTCAAACACAGTTCTATCACCTGATATGACGCTTGAGTGAGGAAGAAGCACTTCAATTGACGGAGGCTGCAGTCATTGTTCTCAAAAATCCTTGAACTTATTTTCCAACTAGTTTCCGAGGGCCTAGCACGTCTCATGTAGAAACCCCAACGACTCGTACTTACCCTCGACCTTTTTCGACACTTGAAAATGTCATCGTCCTCCATGGACCTCTCAGTTGAAACGAAGAATGTGATTTATGTAGGTTCCCAGAACCTGAGTTGTGCGAGTGGGCTAGTCATGCAGTTCTCTAAGAGCGCGGTATCCCAGATATACCGTGCGTGGTCATCCTTGGCGTCCCATAGCTATGCCACATAGCTAACGGGTGAACCAAGCCGGCAACTATGTCACGTTGTGTCCCTGGAACAGGCGACAACTCGGACGCTAAGGTGTAGCTCATGGAGCAAGCATCGATGCACAATCTTGTATTACAGAATTCTCTCATGCCTGCGATAGACGTCGCCTTCAACAACGCTGGTTCGTTTCGAAACCTTTTCTACGTGGGACGTTGCAGAGGCTGCATGTACTCGTCCAAAACGAGCGCTTGCATCGTACTCAATGATGCCGTGTCCAGCGCTGCACACTCGGATACAAACACAGTATAGCGCCGCTGTTTTTGCACGGCAGCGTCGACTTGCGCAAAGGCTGGCGTCCCGACCGTGAGCAGCGCTAGGTACACGAGGCTCGGCAAATGACCGGTCGAGATGTGGGTGCGCACTTCAGGATGACACAAATACTCGGTCGCCACCGCAACGCACGATACCGCGCGCGCACGACTTAGCGTGTTTCGATGCGGCCACAGGGCAGCAGGGAGGTAGCCAGCGAGGTGAACAGAGCCTCGCAATGCATTCGCAAGCGACACGGGCGGTGCGACGAGGTACGCGGTTACCTTGTGCGTGAGAGCCTCAGGCAGGTGCCGACCAAGATACGTCGATGCCGCCGTGTCGATGGGATGCGTCAGCATGTACGTTTCGACGTCAAACATGCGGCGGACTTGCTGGGGCTTGTCGCGGAGGGTCTTGTGGAGGTTGGATAAGAGACGTGGCCACCACAGCGGGATGCAGACGCTCGCGATCGAGTGCGCGACGGCGTCGCCGGTGGTCGCGAGGTGCATCAAATGAGCAGCGAATTCGATCGTGATGTCGGCCGTTTGAAGTCGGTGCTGAAAACGAGCAGCGCCAAAGCGTCGAGCCACCGCAACAATCCACTTTGCCATGTCCTCGTCGTCGGCCCACTGATGGTGTACGTCCAGAAACGCCTCGATGAGCTCCACGTCACCGTGGTCGAAGAGCAGAGACGCCATCGCGGACGTGATTTGGTCGGGATCCGGACCAAAGTTGCCCCGGGGGTGCGGGTAAAAGTACCGGAAGGCCGCTGTAAAAACACGGTCGAGCGACCCGTAGCCGAGGTCGTCGACCACACCACCGTCCAAGTTGGCACGCACGACCGACATCAAGCGGCTGTAGCCGAGGATGTGCACGCGCGCCGCTTTGGGCCACACGAGGAGAAAGCAGCCGGGCGACTCGTACTCGTCCGTGTCGGCTGCAAACTCGCTGACTGGCGACTGGTGGCAAACCTCTTGAACGAGCGCCGGGGTCGCACACGATGGATGAAACGTCTCGGGCAGCGCCGGAATGGCTTCGTTGTCGTCGTCGCCCGCCCGCACAAAGGTAATGTCAAAGACGTTAGCGGCCAGCAGCCGATCGACGATCGCCTTGTCACGACCAGTGAGCGAATCAAACGTCGGCGCTACACTGTCCGTCTCGAGCCCGATCGCGACGCCAATGGACGCGTCCGGATCGTATTGGCAAGCAACGTCCTGGAGGGATTGGATCGAGGGTAGCGGCCGCGGCGCGTACCAAGCCTTGGGTATGTCATCGTCCCACCCCGATTCTTCCATGTCGTACGCAGCGTGATACACAGCACAAGCCCGGTGGCCCGACGTGATGGGCGCCACCGTCACGGCACACGTGCTGTAGAACGAGAGAAAGCACCCGTCGACGGCCTCGAACGTCGTCGTCCAGTCGTTGTCCGAGATGGTGACGGCGCCACCGACGCACTTGGACGGGAAGAAGTAGACAACCGTGGCAAACGTGTAGCGTGGTGGTCGGGTTGCTGGCTTCAACTTGGATGCGTCGCCGGTCAAGTCGATCGCAAAATGCGCCAGCCTCGTGTTGTACGCCATCGAGAAGTAATTGGAATCGTCTGGCGCGGGATCCAGCTCGCCGAGCAGGTCACATTCGCAAAAAAAATCACCACGGAGAAAGTGGTAACTGTTGTGGATCGTGACGTCCTTGGCCGGCACACGCTCGGGGTACGTGGTCATGAGCGCTGCCACGGTCTCGGTCGAGAGAGGCCATGAAGCAACGGTGATGTCACCGAGCTTGACGGTGGGGCTGCACCTGGCGTTAGGCTTGCTCAGGCAGCAGTGGACCCTTGCAGTATCACGTGCAATCGTCTGCAGACTGGTCTTGTCCTCGTCGTCACTCATCCGAAGCAAATGTAGTTGTGCGCCTTTCAACGCTCTTGGAATTTGCAAGATGATGCAATCACATGGCATCGTCTCTGCCAATGTGTAATGCAACGTTGCAAACCGCCTCTCTGTACATGTGTTGGACTATCACTCATGCGCATCATGAAAGCCCATGAGTGATGGATGATGGGCTTTTCCAGATGCGATAATATGCGCCTACGAGCTTGAGCGTCGTCGTCATTGACGTACTGCGCGTTGCACTCGATGGAAGTGGGAGCAGCCTCCAGCGGCGGTGCTCGGCTCCAGAGACTGGTGCACCACCAGGCTGTGCGTGTCAGAGGCGTGCACGTGGCGGCATCATGCACGTGCATTGTAGAGAGGTAGCGCGCCCATGACTCACTCGAGCGTGCGCAGGTGCAGCGCGGCCAGACGTCGCCGAGCGGCAGAAAGACTGCGAGCTCGAGGACGGTGGCCAGCGTCGAGGCTGTGCGCCGCCAGCGGGTGCAAGAAGCCGATCACTTGTCTCGACGCGTCCATGAAGCGCAGGACGAGGCGCGCGCAGTCAGGCTGCAGCGACGCGATCGGGCGCCCATCGGCGGCGTGACCAAGTGGCAAGCCGGCTGCCGTTTGATGATGAGCGACAACACGTGGTTATTTGTGGCAAAATACGGTGCATACCACCTTTAATAAAACTGTCGATTCCTCTGGCTGTAGACCTCGCACGACGACCAGGCATGGCGCGATGCACTCCCTGGATCGTCTTCTATCACCTGCCAAAGCCTCGGCGATTTTATTTTCCGACGCGAGATCGGCGGTCATCAGCGTCGGCGGCGCGGTGGCATCTCCGCCCTCTCGGATTGGCTAAAAATGGAGAAATTATTTTGCGAAAACCTTTTTTATGACTTGGAAATTGTATCACCCTCGGGTGATATTGAGGTGGCACATGCCGCTCATGAGGTGCCGAATCAGCGCTTATATTCGGCACATGCTGGCAAGCCGACGCTCCACCTCGAACCCACCTCGAACCCACGAGGCTGCGTGCAAACAATACTTGCATGCGGGGTCACGACGCAGTTGTATACCCTGCCGTCAAAGTCTGCGGGGCGCAGTGAGTGTCAATCAAGTGTACCCAAGCCGCTGCACTTTTACAGTGCTCTGTATGTGTCTGGGATGTCAAGCTACTGCGCTTATTATATGCATGGTGTGTCTACGGTGCGGGCTGCATGTACGCTTCCAAGGCGTGTGCTTGCACCGTGGACAGCGACATCTTGGCAACCGCAGCGCACTCTCGCCGGAACATGGACCGGTTCCGCAATGTTTGCACGTGAGCGTCGACAGCGGCAAAGGTTGGCGTCCCGACCGTCAGCAGCGCCAAGTATATCATGTGGCCACGGCAGCTGCTTAGGCGCTCAGGGTCCAAGCGCAAATACTCGACGGCGGGCGCAATGCAGGTTGCGAGGCGCTCGATGCCCAGCGAGTCTCGCCTGGACCACACGGCGGCTGGAAGAATAGCGACGAGGCAGTGGTTGGCTCGGACAGTGTCCAGTAGTGACGCGAGCGGCGACGGAAGGTACGTCGCCACCTTGCGCACGACAACGTCCGGTAAGCAACGGCGCAAGTACGCTGACGCAGCCACGCCGATCGGTACGTCTCGACAGCGAGCATGTCGCCCAGCATTCGCTTCGTGGGGATGTAGCGCAGCAGGCGAGGCCACCACAGCGGAACACAGTCGTGTGCGATCATTTGCGCGAGTGCGTCGCCGCCCGTCGCGAGATGCACCAAATGAGCAGCAAAAGCGCTCGAGGCCTTCACTGTATGGAGTCGGTGCTGAAAACGTGGCGTGCCAAAGCGTCGGAGCACCGCGAGGAGCCAAGTAGCCATGTTTTCGTCGTCGGCCCATCGCTCGTGAGCGTCCATGAACGCCTCGATGAGCTGCAAGTCGCCATAGTCGTAGAGCAGTGACGCCATCGCGTACGTGACTTGAGGCGGGTTGCGGCCATGGTGAGGACGCTGCGGGTAGAAGGCACGGAACGCCGCTTCAAAGATGCCGTGGAGCGACTCGAAGCCGAGTCCGTCGACGACGTCACCGTCCACATTGCCGCGCAAGAGCGCGATCGTGCGGTCGTAGCCCAAAATGCGTACGCGGCACGCCTTGGGCCACACGAGCAGGAAGTTGCCACGTGACTTGATCTCGTCGGTGTCTTCTGCAACTTCGTTGATCGGCGTCTGGTCATAAACCTCTTGAACGAGCGCCGGCGTTTTGCACATTGAATGGGACGTCCCAGACAGCGGTGGAATAGCTTTGTTCTTGTCGTCGCCTTCGCCCGTGCGCACCAGTGCAATGTCATAGACGTTGGCCGCCAGTAGCAGATCGACAACTGCCTTGTCAGGACCCGTGAGCGAATCAAACGTCGGCGTTGCAGTATACGTCTCGAGCCGGATCATGACGGCATTACGTTGTCTCGGATCGAAGCCACGAGTAGCGTCCTGTAGCTCTTGGATCGTCGGCAACAGCGGCGGCGCAAACCATACCTCAGGCGCCGTCCAGTTGTCGAAGTAGTTGTCGTCCAGGGTCGCGTAATACACAGCACAAGATCGGTGTCCGGATGTGATCGGCGCGACGGTCACGTCGCACGAGCTGTAGAACAAGAGAAAGCACCCGTCCAATGACTCGAAAGTCGTCGGTCCGCGTTCCGACAGATCTCCGAATGGCCCGCACGCTTCCGAGATCGTGACGGCACCGCCGACGCAGGTGGACGGGAAGAAGTAGACGACCGTAGCAAATGTACCATGTGGTCGCTCCGTTGTCGATGTCAACGCTGAAGAGTCGCCAATCACGTCGACCGCAAAATGAGCCAGCGTCATGTTGAACGCGAGGTTCTTCTCGGTCTTGTTCCGCTCCGAGTCGCATTCGCAGAGGATGGCGGACTCAATCATGAACTCACACTTGGGAATGTCATGGAAGCCGCGGAAGACGACGTCCTTGGCCGGGACGCGGCCAGGTACGTGGTCGACAGCGCCGTGAGGGTCTCCGTCGGTAGCGGCCACGAAGGCACGGCGATGCCGCCGATCTTCGCGACGGGGTTGCTCTCGAATTTCGGCTTGTAGAGATGGCACATCGGCGCCGCAATATCATGCGTAGACGGGCCCATAAGGTTCCCGCTCTTGTCGTCACTCACTCAAAACTAGATGTGATTGACAAAACGATTCTCACTGTGTGACGTTGCACTATACCAGAGTGATGGTCGAGGAAGCCTCTGCGTCCACAAGACCATCACTCACACACGGGGACTGGCTCTCCAGTGCCAACCACGCATGACACATCATCGCGTCTATGCCTTGATGGCATAATTCAAATTGCATCCCATGAGCGACGACGGTCACGAGTACAGTCCGTACTCGATTGCGCGGGACGTCGCGTTGCCGCACTGTTGTCTGCGCAAGGCGGACGCCGAGAGCAGCGTCACCGCGGAACTTGGCGGTATCACCGTGGCGTCGTGGCCTCTCTCGACCGAGACCGTCGCAGCGCTCACGACCAAGTACTCTGGCCGCATACCGGCGCAAGATGTCACCATCAGTGGCCTCGGCATTGCCGAAAACGAGTATTTTTCCGAATCCGACATTCTCAGCAACTTTGATCCGTATCCCGACGGCGACGAGTTCGGCATGACGTTCAGCATGTCACTGGCGCATGTGGCGATCGACGCGACCGGCGACGCGTCGACGTTCAAGCCGGCAACGCAGCGACCGCCACGCTACACGTTTGCTACGGTTGTCTACTTCTTTCCGTCCAACTGCGTCGGCGGCGCCGTCACGATCTCGCATGGCCACCGGACGACGACGTACGAGGCACTTGACGGTCGCTTTCTGTCATTCTACAAGACGTGCGACGTGACTGTAGGTAGCGCCAATTACGTCGGGACATCGGTCGTTTGCTGTGTATCACGCCGTCTACGATCTTGCGGACTTTGACTATGCCGTAAAGCCGCGGTACGCACCCCCGCCACTGCCATCGCTCCAAGAACTCCAACTCGCCGCTCGCCGCTTTGAGCCCGATGGCCACAATAGTGTCATGATCCGGCTTGCGACGCGCAGTGCGACGCCGACGTTTGGTCCGCTCACGGGTCCTGACAAGGCAATTCTCGACCTGCTACTTGCAGCCGACGTCTTTGACATTGCCATTGTGCGGGCGGGCGAAGGCGACGACAGCGAGACCAACAGCATTGACGAGAGCGACGACGAAAGCGAGAATGATAGCGGTGACGTGAGCG